AAGGAGATAGCAATTTTGTTTATTCCTTCCTAAGTTAGGAATCCTACTGCATTAAGGAATAGTCAAGTCAATTCCTACTAGGAAGTGCTTGAACTGATCTGTTCTTTTTAATTTGTTTGGGTTGGTTCTTTTATTGCTTTTCTTGGTTTTTCCTTTGTGTCTTTCTTTTTCCTTTAACTCTTGCAGGTTTGTTGGAGTTAGATTGCTGCAAAATAACTTGAATTGAGCTTGTTTAGTTCAATAACAAACTGAAAGAGGAAAGTTGAGTTAGGGAAAAAGGCAAGAGGTGTGAGCAATACTTGAGAGAAAAGCCAAGTTCTATAGTGTGCAAAACACGAGCGTTGAGTGCCATTCTGTGAGAGAGTGGAGTGAAACACGTAAGGGAGTGTTGAGAGGTCCTTTTATTTTCTGTTTCTAACATTCCTTGCAGGTTTCAATCATGTCAAGCGGTGATGACAAATCAACCACTAGAAGCCACCATGTGGATGAGTCCTTCATGCTCAAAGCAATGTAACAACAATTTCAGACGCTGGACATCATGTTTGGTGAGATTAAAGACAAAATGGAGAAGCAAGATGCAGCGATTGCCAAGTTATACCAAACACATAGTGGAAGTCCGAATTTGCGTAGGAATGATGCTAATGATGATTTCGATGACGATTATAAAGATGCATTCAGCACTGACGCTCAGAACTCAAATTTCAGCATGGACTATGAGAGGTAGAGGGGGCCAAAGGGAGCAAAATTTGACAAGGTGGGGAGATCGGGAAGATCGTGACTTAGGTAGCATCAAGATGAAGATTCGTCCATTTCAAGGCAAGAATGATCCAGATGTGTATTTGGAGTGGGAAAAGAAGGTGGAATTGGTGTTTGATTGCCATAGCTATTCTGAGGAGAAAAAGGTGAAACTAGCAGCGGTGGAATTTACTGATTATGCTGTGTTGTGGTGGGATCAGCTTGTGCTTAGTCGACATAGAAATCGAGAGCATCCTGTTGACACTTGGGAAGAGATGAAAGTTGTGATGAGAAAACGATTTGTTCCTAGTCATTACTACCATGATCTCTATCAACGATTGCAGGGCCTTACTCAAGGGTCCAAAAGCGTTGAGGATTATCACAAAGAGATGGAAATCGCAATGGTTAAAGCGAATGTGGAAGAGGACAAAGAAGCAACTATGGCACGGTTTCTGCATGGCTTAAATTGTGATATAGCTAATGTGGTGGAGCTGCAGCATTATGTGGAATTGGAAGATATGGTGCATATGGCAATGAAAGTAGAACGGCAACTCAAGCGTAAAGGAGCCACCACCAGAACTGGGCAAAATTCAGGTTCTTCATCTTCCTGGAAACTGGATTGGAGCAAAAAGGAAGAAAATTCTGTTTTTAAGCCTAAAACTGCAGCATCTAAGTCAAAAGAAGTTGGCAGCAATGAGAAGAGTAAAACAGATAATACGCAAGGCAGAAACCGAGACATCAAGTGTTTTCGATGCTTGGGAAGGGGGCATGTTTCATCGCAATGTCCTAATAAGCACACGATGATCTTGAGAGCAGATGGAGAAATTGAAACTGAGGGTGAATCTGATGATGAATCTATGCCACCATTAGAAAATGCTAATGATGGTGTGGAATATGCTGTTGATGGAGAACTACTCATCACCAGGCGAGCTTTGAATGTGCAAGCCAAAGAAGATGATGAAGTAACGTGACAATATATTTCACACAAGGTACCATGTCAAAAACAAGGTATGTAGTGTGATTATTGATGGTGGTAGTTGTACTAATGTAGCTGGCACTGTTTTAGTTGAAAAGCTTAATTTACCTATGACGAAGCATCCAAGGCCATATAAGCTAAAATGGTTAAACGATTGTGCAGAAATCAAGGTAAATAAGCAAGTTCTGGTTTCATTCTCTATTGGACGATATAAGGATGAGGTACTTTGTGACATGGTTCCTATGCATGCTGGACATTTACTTTTAGGGAGACCATGGCAATATGATAGGAGGGTAATGCATGATGACTTCAAAAATCGCTATTTATTTGTCATGGAGGGGAAAACAATTACTCTTGCACCATTGAGTCCAAGGCAGGTTTGTGAGGATCAACTGAGAGTAAAAAAAGAGAGTGAGCTTGAGGGTATGAAAAACAAAGAGAAAACAGCAGAAAAAGAGTCCAAAAAGAGAGAAAAGATTGAGAGTGTTGAAAACAAAGAGAGAAAATCAGTGAGTGTTTATATGCAAAAGAAAGTGATGTCAATGGTGCGTTCTTTGCAAACCGGCTTATGTTTGTGCTTCTGTATAAAGATGCTTATTTAAACACTAACGAACTTAATGATTCTTTGCCTAGTGTTGTTAAATCTCTTTTGCAGGACTTCAAGGATGTGTTTCCAGATGACGTTCCTAATGGTTTACCACCAATGAGAGGAATCGAGCATCAAATTGACTTCATTCCTGGTGCAACAATTCCAAACCGACCAGCATATCGAAGCAATCCCAATGAGATGAAAGAACTTCAAAGACAGGTCAAAGAACTCATGAAAAAGGGACATGTGAGAGGAAGCATGAGTCCATGTGCAGTTCCAGTGCTACTTATGCCTAAGAAGGATGGGACTTGGTGTACGTGCATTGATTGTCGCGCGGTCAACAAAATCACTGTAAAGTATCATCACCCTATTCCTAGATTAGATGACATGTTAGATGAGTTGCATGGTTCTTGCATATTCTCTAAAATTGATTTAAAGTGTGGATATCATCAGATGAGGATGAAGGAAGGAGATAAATGGAAAACAGCCTTTAAAATGAAACATGGTTTATATGAGTGGTTAGTTATGCCATTTGGATTAACTAATGCGCCTAGTACATTTATGCGATTAATGAATCATGTTTTGTGTGCTTTCATTGGCAAATTTGTGGTTGTTTATTTTGGCGACATTCTGATATATAGCAAGAGTTTAATTGAACATATTGAGCATGTGTGAATGGTACTAGAGGTGTTGAAAAAAGAAAAGTTGTTTGCTAACCTTAAAAAGTGTTCCTTTTGCACAAATCAGATTGTTTTTTTAGGGTATGTTGTTTCAGCTGATGGAATCGTAGTAGATGAAGAAAAGGTTAAGGCTATTAAAGAATGGCCGACACCTAAAAAATATTTCTGAGGTGCGGAGTTTTCATGATTTGGCGAGTTTCTACCATAGATTCGTCAAGGATTTCAGCACAATTGCAACACCGTTAACTGATATTGTGAAAAAAAGTGTTGGATTTAAGTGGGAAAGTGAACAGGAGAATGCTTTCAATTTAATTAAGGAAAATTTAATTTTTGCACCGTTACTTGCTTTACTTGATTTTACTAAAACTTTTGAAATTGAATGTGATGCATCAGGTATTGGCATTGGTGCTGTTTTGATGCAAGAGCGGCGACCTACTGTGTTTTTCAGTGAAAAATAGACTGGTGCAGCACTTAACTATCCTACTTATGACAAGGAGATGTATGCATTGGTAAGAGCTTTAGAGACATGGCAGCATTATCTTTGGCCTAAGGAGTTCGTGATACATACTGATCATGAGTCGTTGAAGCACCTGAAGGGACAAGGTAAGTTGAATAGACGACATGCTAAGTGGTTGGAATTCCTTGAGACGTTTCCCTATGTGATCAAGTATAAGCAAGGAAAGGAAAACATTGTGGCTGATGCATTATCTCGTAGGTACACACTTATCCCTACCCTAAGTGAAAAGTTATTAGGCTTTGAGCACATTAAAGAATTATATGCTAATGATCCAGATTTTGCTAACGTGTTTAATGCATGTGAGAAGATTGCTTTTGATAAGTTTTATAGGCATGAAGGGTACTTGTTTTGAGAAAATCGATCATGTGTGCCTAACTGTTCCTTAAGAGAATTGTTAGTAAGGGAATCTCATGTGGGAGGATTAATGGGACATTTTGGAGTTAGGAAAACTTTAGATATTCTGAATGATCACTTCTTTTGGCCACACATGAAATGTGATGTTGAAAGAATTTGTGAAAGGTGCATAACATGTAAACAAGCAAAATGGTTTGTATACTCCTTTACCCATACCTACTGAACCTTGGGTTGATGTATCTATGGATTTTGTTTTGGGCTTACCAAGGTCAAAAAGAGGCCATGATTCTATTTTTGTTGTTG